GGCGACGCGGTGGTGGCTCGGAAGGCGAGGTCGGCGGACCGAGCCTGGTTTTCCGAAAGTCGGGGTTGTACGCGTACGGAGTGACCCAGTAAGGAATCCGAAAAATTCCTTACAGGGAGGGAGAAACGCAGGCGCTTGAATACAAGAACGGAACTCCCAAGAAGGGAGTACAGTATTTCTTGGTTTAGGTTGGGTTTGTGTAGTGCTGGCAAGAAAATTTTCTGCCAGCGAGGCACGAACCAGTTTTTACAGTAGAAAAGCACCGGATTTTCGTTATATTTACCGTCTTTCAAGATGTCGATCAGGATTGTTATAAGCTGTTTGTGACTAATTTAATAACGTGTCGCGTTTCCCGCTAATACGAAGACACATAATTTGGAATCTAGTGTCACGTCACAGAAAGCGCATAAACATGTTACCCAAAGTAGCTGATACATAAGATTTGGCTGCAATTATGCAAACCCACTAATGCCATATGATAACGTAATTTGTACATAAAAACAATATTGCTAATTAAAACCAATGCAGTCATATTTTCTAAGTATTCCCCTATATAAAACAAGCAAAATTAGGAAAAAAGAACCTTGAGAAACAAAAAAAATACGGAAATAACAAGCCCATTATAAAGAGGGATAATATAGTTCGTCGTTTTCGCTAAGTACCATGCGTATAATAACAAGCATTTCCTCATGTCTTTGTATGGAAAATACCGTACGATTGCTACGCAACCCTTCCGACGTTAACGTCGAATATTGTTTGTTTCGCAATGAACTCGTCAATTTCGTGCGTGCGTGCCGAAAACACACACGCTCGCTTCAACGTGTATAAGCACGTTCATATATTCGACTCGAGTCGAGTTCACTTTTCACGTTCGAAATTTCATAAGCCCTAAAATTCGCGATGTTCGTTAGATGGCATGAGCGAGATTTGCGAAAGCGGTAACCGAAAAAAGTTCGAACTATTTTCAAACTTAGCAACGGAACGCACGCGTCCTTAGTGCGACGTCAGGTTGTACAACTTTTTGTATAACGCCCTCTGCGGTTAACTTCGTTTCAACACGGTTCAGAGAGGCTAACGTTAAGAACCGCTTTCTACCGTGTTGGACCGTTCTGAATCACGATACAAGAACTGCAAACCCATGAGAAATGTATAACCTGACGTCGCCCTTACACTGGACGGTGAGGTTTCAGTGCTGTCGCACCGCACTTGCAAGGCATGTGTCACAAGGAAGACTGTGCAGGCGTGTGGAATTGTTTCAGTTGCATTACAAGAACTGTTCCAGTTTGAGGAATTGCGCGTGCAAGAATCTACCGAACACAACATACAGAGCATTCTGAGTCTGCTCATCTCCGATCAAGCATAGCCAATTCGAGGCACTCTTGCGTTGACTTTCGAGTTTTGATATTTCGGACCGCTTTAGTCGAATACTATATTTTCCACGTCGCTGTAGTCGTCCGCAGTCGTCGTCGTCGTCGCACGGCTCATCGCAGGCAGGACATCGCAGGCCGCAATGATCGCCGCAGAACGCGGAGAGCTCAGCGACGCCGCGCCGCCGTCGCTGCAGCGCATTTGTCTGCGGGCCGCCGTCAGCAGCGCCACGTGGCAGCGCCAGCCGCGGTCGATGGAGCGCCTGCCGTCCCCGCTGGCGTCGGCGCTGCTGGCGGAGCTACTCGCCGCGGGGCGCGTCACGCCGCCGCTGCTCGAGTAGGTTGCAGTACGAGGCTCATTGCGCGCTCACATAGTAACCGCGCATTCCCTTCTCTCATACGCGTGACGCCTTGTTCGTCCCCGCTGGCTGCGCTAGCGCTGGCGTCGGCGCTGCTGGCGGAGCTACTCGCCGCGGGGCGCGTCACGCCGCCGCTGCTCGAGTAGGCCGTGAGGCTTTGCGAGGCTCGAGCCTGCGAGGCTGCGAGACGAGGCTCTGCCTTTCTGCCCCGCACAAAGCCACTTATTCTCCCCCCTCCCCACCCCTCCCCCTCCCCCCCCCTCCCTCCCCCCACAACCCCACCCCCCCGCCCCCCCCCCTCCTCCGCCTAGTAGTAGCTCCTACCTCATCCCGTAGCTCCCCTCGCAGCCTACCTCCAAGGCTTCGAGGCGACGCTCTCTCTTTCTGCCCCGCACAAAGCCACTCCCCCCTCCCCCCCCCGTCCTCCCTCCGCCTAGTAGTAGTTCTACCTCATCCCGTAATTCCCCTCGCAGCCTACCTCCAAGGCTGCGAGATTGTGAGGCTGCGAGGCTCTCTGCACGCTCACACAGTATCGTTGTTCGATCTCGCCCCTCCCCTCCGCATTCGCCGCGTGCCACCGCCGCTGCTTGAGTATGCTGCGGTGCTGCGGGGCTGCGGGGCTGCGGCGCTCTCAGCGCTCTCTCCCCTGCTCCGTCCCTACCTCCGAGGCTGCGGCGCTCTCAGCGCGATCACACAGTGCCCTTCCCTCCCCTCGTCAGACGCATCTTGCACCACTGCTCGAGTAGGCTGCGGCGCTCTCTAGGCCCTAAAATAACCGTCCATTCCTCCCCGCTTAGCCTTTCCTGTGAGGCTGCGAGGCCCCGCTCCCCGTCCCTGCACAGCACAGCACATTCATCCCCTCCCTCGTTTCCCTCCCTCCCTCGTCTCCTCCCCTCATCCCCTCGTCTCGTCCCATCCCCCTATCCCACCCCCAGGCTGTTCGCCCCCTCGGCGGACCACGTGGACCTCTCCTGCCCGCCGCTCGCCGCACCTGCCGTCTCCCACACGCCAGCAGCGCTGCATGCCCCCCACGCAGCCCCGTGCTCTTCCCCCCACGTCACGCCCACGTCTCCCGTCCCTCCCCCGTTCTCGCCCTCCCTCTCCTCATTCTCCTCACTCTCCTCGCTCTCACCTTCCTCCTATTACGGCATTCCAGACCCCCTGGTAGATCTTTCCCCCGCGCCTCCTATCTATGCCATGCCCCCCGGCCAATCCATAGACGCCACGTGGCTCGCCTACCTGGCAGACTTCCGCTGCCTTCGCTCGCTCCGGCTTGACAACTGTCGCCACGTCACCGACTCTGCTCTCAGCATGCTCTCAGGTATTTTTCCATCTTGTATCCGCATCTGCTGTCTCAGGTGCTTCCTCAGGTGCTCTCTCAGTTGCCGTCTCAGGTGTTCTTTCAGGTGCATACTCTGAGGTGCATTACGGTGGCACACCTTTCTTGTATTGTCCTAATGCGACTCCCTCAATCCCCCACTTCTATCGTCCGCCCCATCCCCCAGTTCCCCCCTCTCTCTCACTCCTTCCAACCTCTCTCCGCCCTACCCCACCCCTCTCCCCCCACTTCCAACCCCAGCACGGCATGCCTTGTAGCCCCTGGGCCGCACCAACCGCTCTCCCTCATTCCTCTCTCATTCTTCCCAACCTCTCCTCCCCTACCCCACCCCGATCCCCCTTCCGCCTTTTCCAACTCTCCAGCTTTAGCGCCACACACCTTGGAGCATCTGAGCCTCACAAACTGCCCTCTCCTCCTCACTGCCTTCCTCATTGGCCTTTTCACTCCTTCCCAGCCTCTCTTTTCCTTTTCCCACCTTCCCCTCCTCACCCCCCACTCCCCACCACCCTCTAGGTCTGCACGCCTTGGAGCATCTGAGTCTCACCAACTGCCCTCTCCTCACTGCTGCCTCATGACTCCCTCACTCCTTTCCAACCTCTCTTTCCCCTTCCCCTCCCCCCTTTCTCCCCCCCCACCCCTCACACCAGCACTGCACGCGTTGGAGCATGTGAGTCTCACCAACTGCCCTCTCCTCACCGCCACCTCTCTCGCCACCATCCTCCCCCCCTGCCTGCCCCCCCTGCGCTCCTGCTGCCTCTCCGGCGCGGCCGTTAGCATGGGCGAGGGAGGGAGGTTTGGACCGTCTGAGCCTCACCAACTGCCCTCTCCTCATGGCACTCTCTTTCCTTTCTCCCAAGCTCTCACCCCCTTACCCCACTCTCCCTCCCTCACTGCACACCAACCTCCCCACCACCCCCAGCACTGCACGCGTTGGAGCATCTGAGTCTCACCAACTGCCCTCTCCTCACCGCCTCTTCGCTCACCGCCATCCTGCCGCCCTGCCTGCCCGCCCTGCGCTCCTGCTGCCTCTCCGGCACCGCCGTTGGCATGTGCGAGGGAGGCGCGGGAGGAGGCGGGGGCAGCGAGCAGTGGGGCGTGGCAGTGAAGGGCAGGCGGAGAAGCAAGGGCAGCAGAGCCAGTGGCGGTGTTGGTGGTGGTGGCAGCATGGCAGCACCTGCTGCGTTCAACACACCATCTGCTTTCTCCAACTCTCCACCTGCTGCTTTCAACGCATCACATGTTAGCCCATCTTCTGCTTCCTCCAAGTCTCCACATAGTGCGTCCAGCATAGCAGAGAGTGCAGCCTGTGTGCCCGCAGCAGCCCCATCTGTGATCTCTCTGCTCGCCCTCGCCCCTCACCTCACTCACCTGGATCTGGGCGGCATGCACCATGCACTGGACGATTCTGCCTTTAAGAAGCTCACGGTGAGTCGTCTTGCTCCCACTCTACCTCCTGCTGCTTCCAGCGCACGAGGCACCTCAGCCTGTGTGCCCGCAGCAGCCCCGTCTGTGAACTCTCTGCTGGCCCTTGCGCCTCACCTCACGCACCTTGACCTGGGCGGCATGCACCACGCACTGGATGATAATGCGTTCCAAAAGCTCACGGTGAGTCGTAATGCGCCATGTGCCATGTTCCTAGTCTGCCACATCCCTCAAGCATGCCTCCTCGCCTCACCTCACCTCACTCACCTGGAGCTGGGCGGCATGCACCACGCACTGGATGGTAACGCATTTCAAAAGCTCACGGTGAGTGGGAATGTGCCATGTGCTAGTAGCCGCGCACTCTGTGTTTCGTTTGCCATGCTCCCGCTCAGCCGGGTTGACTTTTGAGTCGACTCAAAAGTCAGCGCACTGGGTGATAATGCATTTCAAAAACTCGCGGTGGGTGGGAATGTGCCTTGTGCTACTAGCCATGCACTCTATGTTTCATTCGCCATGCTCCCACTCAGCCGGGTCCCTCCAGCATGCTCCCTCACTCACCTGGAGCTGGGCGGCATGCACCACGCCCTGGAGGATAATGCGTTTCAGAAGCTCATGCTGGGTCCAGTTGTGCCTTGTGTTAAGCCATGCGCCATGCCCCACTGACCTCACTCACCTGGAGCTGGGCGGCATGCACCGCGCGCTGGACGATAATGCATTTCAAAGACTCACGGTGGGTGGGGCTGGTCCATGTGCCAATAGCTATCTGCCATTCTCCCACTCTTCCAAATATTACAAGCATGTTCCCTCACCTCACTCACCTGGAGCTGGGAGGCATGCACCATGTGCTGAATGCTAGTGCCTTGAAGAAACTCACGGTGGTTCAGAATGTGGTAATTGCCATTTTCCATGCTCAATCTCCATGCTCCCATCTGTCATTGTGGGGCAGCAGCATCACCAACGCCTCCGCTACTCCTCGCCTCCCCCTGCCTGCTCCCACTCTCCCTCACCCCTCAAGGATGCGTGCTTCTAGCACTCGCTTATAATTGCCCCTTCCCTCCCTTGAATCCTTCTACCCACAACCTTTCCCCACTCCCCCAATCCCTCACCTCTCCTCTCCTTTCCCCCCCTCCTGTCATTGGCTCATCTGCGCCATCTGTCAGTGTGGGGCAGCAGCATCACCAACGCCTCTGCCCCTCACTTTCCCCTGCGTGCTCAATTTTTTTTTGTGTCGACTTAAATACCACCTTCCCCCCCACCCCTTTTCCCTTCCAAACCCTCATCCCCCCTCAGTCGCTCGTTCACTTGCGCCATCTGTCAGTGTGGGGCAGCAGCATCACCAACGCCTCTGCGCCTCTGCTCCTCGCCTTCCCCCGTCTGCTCTCCGCCAACCTTGCCTGGACTGCCCTCTCCCACCTCCCTGCCCACCCCTCCCTCACCACCCTCCACCTCTCCCACTGCCCCCTTGTTTCCATTGGCTTCCCTCTCCCCTCCTTCTCATCCTCTCCCTCCTCCTCTCCCTCCTCTCACTCCTCTCAGCCCTCTCCCTCCTCCCCACTCGCTCATCTCGTTCTCTCTGGTGCCTCAATCGCCCCTCCCTCCTCCCTCTTCCCTCCTCACCTCCTCGCCTCCCTCACTCACCTCGACCTCTCCCACTCGCGCGGCGCCACCCTTCCTCCTCCTCCCCACCACCCTCCACCGCACTCCACTGCTCTCCTACAACATCACACCCCTCTCTGCGGGCTGCAGTGGCTACAAGCAGCGCTCTCCCTCACACACCTCGACCTCTCGGCTGCTGCTGTCTCTGACGCCCTTCTGCTGCACCTCGCTCACTCCCTTCCCCACACGGTACGTTAGCTCTTCACCACGTTCCACCGCACTCCACTCCTCCACGCCCTCACACCCCACCCCACCCTGCGGGCTGCAGTGGCTGGAAGCAGCGCTCTCCCTCACACACCTCGCACTCTCCCTGCTCAGTACCCACCTCGCACTCTCAGTGTCCGTCCCTGTTTTTCTCATGCCCTTCCACTCCCTCCCCAACACTCTCAGTACCCATCCCTGCTCTCTCCCCATCCCCGCTCTCTCCTGTCCCCCATTCCCTCCCACCCTCAGGTTTCATCTTTAACTGCTTTGTTGCGTTTTCAGCTTCTTGTTTTCGATGCATTGAACTGAATTCGAATCTGCTACTTTTCCCCATCCACAGTCTGTTCCACAAGGCACCACCACCACCCATGGCGCATCAGGAATCGCCAGCAGCACCAGCAGCACCACCAGCAGCAGCAGCAGCACCAGCAGCAGCACCACCAACCCTACGCCCCAAGCATTTCCTTGGCAGCACCTGTCACTCGCCTCCTCCCCCGACCTCTCCTCCAGGGGCCTGGCCGCGCTGCTGCTGCTCACCCCGCGCCTCACCTCGCTCTCCCTCGCCCACACTGCGGCGTCGAACGCGTGTTTGCCGCTGCTCGCATCCCTGCCGCTCCTTTCCTCCCTCTGCCTCGATGGCTGCCCCATCTCAGGTGAGCTCGTGTGCAACACTCAGGTCATGACCGGCTTCTACACTTTGTACCTTCTTTTGAGTCGGCCAGTATTGACATAGTGTCCTATACCCGACTCTGTTGAGGGGGGGTGGTTCGCTTGTTACAACGCCCTAGGTGCCTAGCTTTTGATCACCGGCATACCTTCCTGCCCGCGTGCCCACATTGCTGTATGGCTGCCTCCAGGCAGCACATCGGATGACAACAGGGAGGATGGCGAGGAGGAGGAGGACGAGGAGGGGTCTCATTGTGTGTGCTGCCTTCGCACACGCATACCTACATGCTGCATGCCTAAATTGCCGCATGCCTGCGTGCCTGCATGGAATCACCCCAGGTGGCACATCGGATGACAACAGGGAGGATGGCGAGGAGGAGGAGGACGAGGAGGGGTCTCATTTTGTGTGCTGCCTTCGCACACGCATACCTACATGCTGCATGCCTAAATTGCCGCATGCCTGCGTGCCTGCATGGAATCACCCCAGGTGGCACATCGGATGACAACAGGGAGGATGGCGAGGAGGAGGAGGACGAGGAGGGGTCTCATTTTGCTTGCTGCCTTCACATGTACATGCCTACATTACTGCATGGCTGCATGGCTGCATGGCTGCATGGCTGCATTACTGCATGGCTGCATTGCTGCATGCCTACTACATTGCTGCACGGCTGGAAACAGGTGGCACATCGGATGACAATTTGGATGATGGAGAGGAGGAGGAGGACGAGGAGGAGTCTCTCCTCAGACTCCACCTTGCACACCTGCACGCAGCAACAGCACCATCACTACCACCACCACCAGGAGCAGCAGGAGCAGCAGCAGCAGCAGTTGGTGGTGGTGCTGGTGCTGGTGGCAGTGGCAGTGGCGATGTATATGCCGCATTCTCCCAAGGCGTGGAACGGCAATCAGCGTTGGCAGAGGGCGGGTTGGCCCTGCTGACCTTGCTGCCACACCTCACGTCTCTCAGCCTGCATGACACGCCCCTGTCTACACACGGCATGCTGCGCCTGCGCCATCTCACCCGCCTGCTCCACCTCTCCCTCTCCTCCACTGCTCTCAGCCCCCGCCGCTTCCTCTCCCTCCTTGGTAGGTAACACACCCATCCCCTTCCCCACCATGCTCTTATCTGCACAACCTCTCCCTCTCCTCCACTGCCCTCAGCCCCCACCGCTTCCTCTCTCTCCTTGGTAACCCCCCCATCCCCTTCCCCACCATGCTCTTATCTGCACCACCTCTCACTCTCCCTCTCCTCCACTGCCCTCAGCCCCCACCGCTTCCTCTCTCTCCTTGGTAACCCCCCCATCCCCTTCCCCACCATGCTCTTATCTGCACCACCTCTCACTCTCCCTCTCCTTCACTGCTCTCAGCCCCCACCGCTTTCCTCTCTCTCCTTGGTAACCCCCCCATCCTCTTCCCCACCATGCTCTTATCTGCACCGCCTCTCACTCTCCCTCTCCTTCACTGCTCTCAGCCCCCGCTGCTTCCTCTCCCTCCTTGGTAATCACACCACTACATCGTCTCTCCTCTACATCGTCTCACCACTCCATCGTCTCTCCTCTACACATTGTTCACATGGTCACATTGTTCACATTGTTCACATGTGGTAAGGGTGTTTTCTGCCCACATGTTCTTACACCTCCTTGCCACATGTTGGTAGAAACACCCTTCCCAGATGTTTGGGTTAAAAAGGTCGAACCTCCCATTGCATTCCTTGTGACCCAACTCGCTTCCAGCTTCTTTGCATCTCGCTTCTGCGACCCAACTCTTTCCATTCGTTTGCTCAAATTTTTAATCAAATCTCCCTGTCTCCTGCTCTGCTTGTCCCACGACCCTAAACCCACATCCTCCATCTCATTCGATTCCCCACCCCTTTCTCCCTCTCCCACCGCTCTCCCTTTATCTTCTCGCCCATACACCAGCCTTCTGTCCCTGCCACCAACTGCGCCTCTCCTCACCGCACATCACCGCGCACCACCTCCCCTCCCTCCGCCTGCACCCCTCAGTCCGCATCCTCGACGCCTCCCTCCTCCCTTCCCTCTCCGCCCCACACGCCACGGCTCTTTCCAATCAGCTCGCGCCACGTGTCACTGTGCTGCATGCGTGTGACAACTGTAGCAGCCTCGGGGTGTGGATGCTTCAGCAGAGTGCAGAGGAGAGGAAGGGAGGGCGCAGGGGAGGGAAGCAAGAGAGGAGGGGGAGAGAAGGGAGCATGGAGAGCGAACAGGAGGGCGGGGTGGAGGGCGGGGTGGAGGGCGGGGTGGAGGGCGGGGTGGAGGGAGGGGAGGGGAGGGAGGCGCAGCAGGTGGAAGGAGGGCAGAGGGGGAAAGGGTCAGGTGGCAGTGATGGAAAGAAGGAGCAGAGGGGGGAGCCTGGGATGGGTGAGATGCGGGCATGTGGTGTGATGGGCAGATGGGCATTAGGGGGCAGATGCAGAGCAGATGAGAGGCGCAAATTCACCCCGGCTGAGCTTAAGTCGTTGCGAGGTGCTGCCCAGGCGCAGCAGCTGCCTGTGCCGTTGCCCCCGCATCTTACCGGCAAGTGGTAAGCTTAGAGAAAGAGGTCTCCCCTTTCTACTGGTACGGCTTTTAAGGCGCCTCGAAAGTCTGCGCAGGGGCAGCAGCTGCCTGTGTCGTTGCCCCCGCATCTTACCGGCAAGTGGTAAGCTTAGAGAAAGAGGTCTCCCCTTTTTTATTGGTTCAAAAGCGGTGTTCCAGTCCAGAGAGAAGCTGCCTGTGAATGCAAATGCAGCATAAAACACTTGTCATGATAAGGCTCCCCACATGTTGTTTTATTGTAGTTTTCATAAGACCTTAGGGTCCTATATCCGGGTGATTACGGTAAAACCGTATTATGGCTTCACGATGATATGTTGCTACTGTAATGGTTCTATGGCAATACCGCAAATCCCTGGCCGATTAATGCTTCGCATGCTCTGCAAGCACAAAAACAGTAGATTCCCTTCCAGACACAAAGGTGACGACACCTGCCCTGCCCAGCCAAAGGCCACCCCCGGGCATTAAACGACTGTCCAGCTACACAACTACTTTTTGAGACGTCTCAAAAGTCTCTCCAGCTACACCACAAACTCGCGACTATCCTCATAACCAAGCATTGCCAGCCGTGTGCCCAGTGCACCGCCACTGCCCTGCCCATCCCATATGCCCGTGCCACTCCCCCAGTACAGCCCGCTCCATCGCCCCCCACCCTCTCGTCTGTCTCCGCTGTCCCCCTCTCTGCTATCTAGGCTTTCTCCCCTTTCACCCCCTGCCCGGGCCCCCTGCAGCAGGGAGGCTCGAAGGGGCTTGAGGGTTCGGAGGGCCGCAGAGGGAGTGGGGCGGGAGGAGGGAGAAGAGGAGGTGCAGGAGAGGGCGAGGAGGAAGAGGGGGAGGAGGAGGGTGTGAGGGGGTGGAGGGTGTGGCAGGAGCGGGTCGAGGAGAGGAGAGACGTTGCCGGCTGTCACATGCTGCTGGGCCTGGGGGTTGAGAGGTCGGGAAGAGGGAGACGCGGGCGGGGGAACGGAGGGGAAGGTGTGCAGGGCAATGGATGGGAAGAGGAGCGGTGGGAGGAGGCATGGGGGATGGAGGGGCAGGGCAGTGTGAGCTCGAGACAAAGAGGTTTCCAAAGTGAGATGTGTGTTCTGATGAGATGTGTGTTCTGATGAGATGTGTGTTCTGATGAGATGTGTGTTCTGATGAGATGTGTGTTCTGATGAGATGTGTGTTCTGATGAGATGTGTGTTCTGATGAGATGTGTGTTCTGATGAGATGTGTGTTCTGATGAGATGTGTGTTCTGATGAGATGTGTGTTCTGATGAGATGTGTGTTCTGATGAGATGTGTGTTCTGATGAGATGTGTGTTCTGATGAGATGTGTGTTCTGATGAGATGTGTGTTCTGATGAGATGTGTGTTCTGATGAGATGTGTGTTCTGATGCCTGGCATGCAAGGGGCGAGTGCATGGTCAATGCACATTGCACGTGCACCATCATCACAACTTCACCATGCCACGCTACGCCATGCCATGCCATGCCATGCCGTGCCATGCCATGCCATGCCATGCCATGCCACACCATGCCATCTTCCGCCCTACCACGCCATGCCACACCACACCACACCAGACCATGCCATAGCATGCCATGAGCAGCAGGGCGGCACGCACCCAGTCTGAGATGTGAATGCGTTGGCCATCCACATGCACGTAGGGAGTAACCCACCCCGTGAGCAGCTGCAGCAGCAGCACCCCCACGCTGGCAAGGGCAGACCGGAAGAGAGGAGGCAGAGGGAGGGCGACAAGAGACAGAGGGAGGGCGAAATGGTGAGGGTAGGTGAGATGAGATAAGCAGCTGTCGCAGCAGCACTCCCACACTGGCAAGGGTAGAGGAGGGCGGAGATCGGAAGAGGAGGGTGAAGAGGGGAGATGATGGTGAAACATGTGGGCCCCACCTGAACATGTGGGCCCCACCTGAACATGTGGGCCCCACCTGAACATGTGGGCCCCACCTGAACATGTGGGCCCCACCTGAACATGTGGGTCCCACCTGAGCATGTGCGACCCACCTAAACGCGTGGGCCCCACCTCACCTGAACATGTCTGACATGGCAGATGCAATGCCGGTGTGCAACACAGCGGGATCCACATGCCCCTCCGTGCACCGCAACACTTTCCGCTGCTTCAACCCTCCACTGCCACTGCTGCTGCTGCTGCTGCTGCTGCTGCCACTCGTCCCACTCTCCCTCGAGCTCCCACTGTGGCCACTCTTGCCACTGCTGCCAGCGCTGCCACTGCTGCCACCCTTGCTGCCTCCACCTTCCCCACTCCCACTCGTCCAGGAACCTTCCTGGTGCCCGCCCATGTCCACGAGCACGCGCTGACCCATGCGCATCGCACTCCAGTCGCCCACCCGCGCCTGGTAGGGTGTGGCCCACAGGAGAGACAGGGGCAGGTGAGGAGGAAGGGAGTGAGAGAGGTGAGGATTGTGCGGGCAGTCATGGATGGGGCATGACACCACCCTGTCAACGATTGAGAGCAAGATAGAGAGGGTTGAGGGCAGATGTGATAAAATGCAAAATCAAAATTCACTCGAATCTTTTCCTTCAAGCCTCGAGTGAGGTCCGAGTCGAGTCAACCAAAACTCGACCCGGCATTTTTTTTTCCTCGGGTTGAGATGTTTTTTTTCCTCAACCTCAGCTGGAATGTACGCTTGGCCGGGAAAGCGTATCGCGTTTCTATGCTAGCGTACATAATATGCAATGCGCGTGGAATACACTCGGAAAACGCTCAAACAGCCCACAAAAAAAAATGCCATGAGGAGAGGAGGGACGAGATGGTGAGACATGTTAGAGAGGAGAGTAGTCATAGGCTAGGTGGTAGCTTAGGTTGTCGAGGGAGGGTTAAATAGAGATAGCGCATGAATAGGGAAGTGGAATTTCGGCAAGGCTGGGTCGGATTGAAAAATGTTCAAGGAGCATGGGAAGGCGATGAATGTGGCCTTGCTACAGATAACGACCAGTCCAAAAAGGGGTGCATCACCAATTTTTACGTCCACGAGGCTGCGGATGTGGAGAACAAGGCGAACGAGGCGATCTCCCTCTTTTTTGCCAGGCTTTGCGTTCCTGAGGCTTTGCGTTCCTGAGGCTTTGCGTTCCTGAGGCTTTGCGTTCCTGAGGCTTTGCGTTCCTGAGGCTTTGCGTTCCTGAGGCTCCTGAGGCTTTGCATTCCTGAGGCTCCTGAGGCTTTGCATTCCTGAGGCTCCTGAGGCTTTGCATTCCTGAGTAGCAGGCTGACCATCCGCTCTTTCACAACATGTTGTGAGAAGTCGCTGAGGTGGGTAGTAGCAAAAAACATTGGCGGCGTCAGTCTTGAGCAGAGCCAGGCGGTAGAGGAGGGTTTGACGCCGATCACGTCGAGCTGTGTGAAGATTGGAGACACCATTGCGAGCAACATGATGACTGACAAGAGCAAGCGCCCATTGCCAAACATGCTGCTGATCAAGGACATCGACGCGATGTTTGTTGAAAGAGTATATTACAGGATGGAGAGCGAGTCAGATGACTATATCCCTTCTCTGCTGTGATCGATCTTGGAGAAAGTTGGGTAAAAAAAACTCGTGGCATTGTGCATGGATGGGGGTAGCTGTTGACGAGAAAAGGCCTCACCTACAAGGCATACAAGGTGTGCAGGCGGCTAGGCTTCATGGTCGACTTGGGCTAGGCTTCATGGTCGACTTGGGCTAGGCTTCATGGTCGACTTGGGCTAGGCTTCATGGTCGACTTGGGCTAGGCTTCATGGTCGACTTGGGCTAGGCTTCATGGTCGACTTGGGCTAGGCTTCATGGTCGACTTGGGCTAGGCTTCATGGTCGACTTGGGCTAGGCTTCATGGTCGACTTGGGCTAGGCTTCATGGTCGACTTGGGCTAGGCTTCATGGTCGACTTGGGCTAGGCTTCATGGTCGACTTGGGCTAGGCTTCATGGTCGACTTGGGCTAGGCTTCATGGTCGACTTGGGCTAGGCTTCATGGTCGACTTGGGCTAGGCTTCATGTCAACGGAACCGACATCGACGGCTAGTCGACTTTGGTGAAGCCGGCCACAGCGAAGCCGACTTCGACACTGACTGATGAAGGGAAGTTGGTAGAGGGTGTTCAAATTCAGCGTTCGACGATGAAAGTTGTCGCCAATATGATGTCGACTTGTGAACGTCGACCTACGGTGTAGGCCGACCATCGGAAATCGACGCCGACTTAGTGGCCTCTTCTAGTCGACCTAGTAACCGGGGTGCGCGGACTTCGCCCCAGGTGGTTTGGACGAAGTTGACTTGCGGGACGAGCATCACTTGCGGGACGAGCATCACGTGCTCGTCGACCTGGGACCTACGCAATGTTGTTGACGGCACAACCGTCTACCTGCACCTTCTTTGATAGGTGCGGACATGTGCACACTCGCATGCTGTTGCAACACTGGCAAGCCGCCTTGCATCAGGAGTGCTGGCACGTTGCCATCTTTCTGTATCGGCAAGTCGCCTTCTAGCTGCGTTGGCACGCCATCAACTTGCGGCATTGGCAAGTCGCCCTTGTGCTGCACTGGAGGTCGACTTGCTAGGATGCTAGGTTACATTGTATTTCTTTTAGTAAAAATCTTGGCAATTTTATCCTGTGATCACAACAAGTAGTGAGAAATTGCAACGCTACGATCACCCGTACAACCCTGTGCCTTCCCACATAGTCCAGCCACTGTTGTAGAGTGACTCTCCCCAATGTGCATGGATGGGGTAAGCAACTACGGCACAGCCATTTAAGAGCTACTTGCTAAATGTAAGGATAAGCAGGGGTGGAGCCTGGTTCAGCCCTGGTCGAACCGGGCCAGGCCAGCCATCAAACTGGGCCGAACCTGGTTCGGCCCGTCCTGGGTTGGCCATACAATTTTGCGACCCAGTTCGTCCATAGACAGGGCAGGCCGAAAATGGTTCGTTGGAACCATTTTCAGCCTGTGCACCCTTCAATATAGTCATAGGTGGGTTAAAACAATGTTTTTTAGCTTCAATGCTGGAGACAAAAGCAGCACGGAAATGGTAAACCTAAAAACGAAATGCCGGATCAACCTCACCTAGGCCAGTGTTTCAAAATGGTAAACGTGTTTAGGTAGCAAAAAACGCCTTAGAGGGCGCTAGGGATCGGCTGGAGGTGGAGCTAAAAAATGAGCTCCAACAAATGTTGCGCAAGGGTAAAAAGGGCCCAAGAGCGGGCCCATTCCGGGCAATTTTGGGCAGCGTTGGGCTGTGACGTGGGGCGGGGCGAATCGGTTCAGCTCGCTTTTCTAACGTCTGGCCGAATTCGAACCTTCAGGGTTCGGCAGGCCGATCCTACTTCGGCCCGCCCATGGCCGACAGCTAAATTTCGACGTTCATCATGGGGCAAAACCGGGCCGGTTTGGCCCGGGCTGAACCAGGTTCGCACCTATGCTCAACCCTAGCTGAGTGGACGCAACTTCCTCCCATCCCTCCCTTCCAACAGTTGGCAGATGCCAACTAAGGATCAAGCTTCAGGACCAATAATCACCAACCACAAATTGTGGTTGGAGGGTACACCCAACAACCCTCCAATAGATAAGTTGCTACACCTCTAAATCTATACGATGGATGTTGTATAAGTAACGAGACTACCGGAATCCGCACTCGAAACTCTCCCAGGCCAAGTAAAAAAATGACAAGTTTTCACTGCCCTCATGTCTAGTTGAGAGTAAGCCTGTAAAAACGAATACGAATATTTTTTCTGAATATTCTTCGAATACTGTGTGGTTTCTTATTCTACCGAATACTGACCCAAAAACGAACACGAATGCGATTCGAATACTGCCGAATTCGAATCGAATACGATTAAGTCAAACGCCAATGTCAAACGGCTAATGCATGTTCGACACAGGGTGATACAGTGTACCTTATACTACCAACACCACGGCTCAATCCCGCACCACGAACCATCCCTAACCCCTCTACAGCTACTATCTTGCACGGCTCTCACGAGGCCTCTTGTACACGGACTGCTAAAGATGATAGCCACATGTAGGGAAAGTATGAGGGGGGTTGAATGATGGGATACTGAATAGTATCGAATACACCGAATATTCGTGACCCGAATATTCTACATTCACGAATACTCGTGATGCGATTATTTTCGAATACATAGTCGTTTCCTATTCTCTCGAATTCAGGTATTCGAACGAATAGCGAATAGTTTTCGAATACCGAATATTCCTTTACAGGCTTAGTTGAGAGGCATGCACCCATCTCCCTATCAGCAGCAAAAATCACCTCCCAAGTCACTTGAAGCAGGGCAATGCACTCACCTCCCAGGCAACAGTGAGCAGCACATTTGAGGGCTTGAGGTCGCCGTGCACCTGCCCATGACTCTGCACCGCCTTTAGCGCCCTCAGCACTCCCACCGCGATGCCCACCCGCTGCCGCAGCGACAAGGGGCTACTGCCCCCTAGTGCGGCTGATTTGGGAGGCATGAAGGAGGTCAGGTGTGGGGTTGGGATGGACGCGGTGCAAGAGGGTTGGCGGTGGGGGAAGGGGAGTTCGCTTGTGGGGTCAACAAAACAAGGACAAGAGACAACAAGGCAAGGAAGAGGGTCACAAGGACTGGAAGAGGGTTAGAAGGCAAGGAAGAGGGTCATCACAAAGGAAGGAGAGGGCCATAAAGCAAGGAAGAGGGTCATAAGGAAAGGAAGAGGACTGAAAGAAAGGAAGAGGGTCGCAAGGAAAGGAAGAGGGTCGCAAGGAAAGGAAGAGGGTCGCAAGGAAAGGAAGAGGGTCGCAAGGAAGTGGGTCGCAAGGAAAGGAAGAGGGTCGCAAGGAAAGGAAGAGGGTCGCAAGGAAAGGAAGAGGGTCACAAGGAAAGGAAGACGGTCGCAAGGAAAGGAAGACGGTCGCAAGGAAAGGAAGAGGGTCGCAAGAAAAGGAAGAGGGTCGCAAGGAAAGGAAGAGGGTCGCAAGGAAAGGAAGAGGGTCGCAAGGAAAGGAAGAGGGTCGCAACGAAAGGAAGAGAGTCGCAAGGAAAGGAAGAGGGTCGCAAGGAAAGAAAGAGGGTCGCAAGGAAAGGAAGAGGGTCGCAAGGAAAGGAAGAGGGTCGCAAGGAAAGGAAGTGGGTCGCAAGGAAAGGAAGAGGGTCGCAAGGAAAGGAAGAGGGTCGCAAGGAAAGGAAGAGGGTCACAAGGAAAGGAAGAGGGTGTGTTCACACACTGATGCAGTGACAATGGGGCTCGAGGGGCGCAGCTGACTTGTGGGGGAAGGAAGGTGGGGCGCGAGGGATTACCTCGGTAGGGAAAAAAACAAGGAAAGCAAAAAGCGGCAGTTGCGAGGACATGGGGTGGGATGTGAGAGGAGAGGAGAGGAAAGGAGAGAGGAGTGGAGAGGAGAGGAGATGACGAGAAGTTAGGAGAGGCGAGGAGAGGAGAAGAGAGGAGAGGAGAGGAGAGGAGAGGAGAGGAGAGGAGAGGAGAGGAGAGGAGAGGAGAGGAGTGGGAGGTGGAGGAGGACAGGTGGTGAGTGGATGGCATGGCGGTCCACTGTAAGCGCACCTGCCACTGTGAGCGCACCTGCCTGCAGCACCGCCTGCAAGCTGCCCCTCTCCATCCACTCGTACACCAACACCTGCCCCTCCTCTCCCCCCTCCTGCCCGCCCCCCTTCTCTCCCGCCGCCTTCCCACCCCCCTTCTCTCCCCCTTCCTGTCCGCCCTTTTTCTCTCCTCGCCCCTGCCCCTCCTGCATACCCCCCTCCCCTCCGCCCTCCCGCACATCCCTCTGCGCTGCATCCTGCAGCCCCTTGCTGCCCCCCCCAGCCTGCCAGGAGCACCACCCCACGAGGCGGAGCACGTTGGGGTGCCCCACACGCGACAAGGCCAGCGCGTGGGCCTCCAGTGACGCCCACTGCGGCGCCCCTCTCATGCGCTTCACTGCCCACACGGCCCCCCCCCCGCCCCCGCGCCCTCCCCCTCCCTGCACGCATCCCCTGCTTCCTCTGCAACGCTCCCCCCTCCTCTCCCCCTTCCTGCTTCACCTCTCCCCCTTCCTGCTTCCCCTCTCCCCCTTCCTGCTTCCCTTCTCCCACTTCCTGCTTCCCCTCTCCCTCTCTTCCATTTCCACCATCGCTCTCCGCCTCGCTCCTATCCTCGCTCTTTTCCCCCTCCACCTTTCCCCCCCCCTCCACATTCCCCCCCCACTCTCCCCATTCCCCCCTGTACACGTCACTCCACCTTCCTCCTCCCACCCTTCGCCCCTCTGCCCACCCATTGGTGGCCCTGATGACGTCAGCAAGGAAAATTTGAGGGCAGGGGAGAGTGCGCTTGAGCATGGAAGGAGCTGGAAGGGTAAGGGGGGAATGAGGGGAACGGGGGAATGAGCAGAAAGGGGAGCGGGGGGGATGAGGGAAATGAGGGGAATGGGGGAATGAGGGGAATGGGGGAATGAGGGGAACGAGGGGAGTGAATAAGGTGGCAAATGAGGAACCATGAGCGGACAGAGGGAATAGAGGGGGGGGGACAAGAAAGGAAGAGGGGCGAGAAAGAGGAAGATATTAGGCGCCGTTGAGAGAGGCACAGCAACCACATGAAACGGGTAGCATCAGCAACAAGGGGGAAGGATGCCACACACACACACATACACACACACACACGCACGCACAAAACTGCACACAAACACATACAAAAACACGTACACAGATACTCACACCCACCCACCCACCTATACTCACACACACTCGCTTCCCCCCCTCCCCTACACACACATTCCACTGCACTCCACCCACCACTACATTCCTTGGCATGTCGACACATGCCCCACTTTTTGAGGCGCCTTAGAAATAGACCACCCATCACTTGCTGCCATGGCGACACATGCCCCACTACAGGAGCCACCATCACATCACATCACATCACATCACATCACATCACATCACATCACATCACATCACATCACATCACATCACATGCCTTCTTCATCCACGCTTCCCGCCCTCTGATGCAAGTGTAGTGTTGAGACGTCTCAAAACAACACTTTTATCACGTGCCCAACAACAAATCCAACCCGCCCATCCATCACATCACATGCCTCCTTCATCCCCACTTCCCGCTCCTCTGATAAAAGAGTTGTTCTGAGAGGGCGGGGAGTGGGGATAGAGACCCGCATCTCAAAACGACACTTTGATCACGTGGCTACCCACGTGGATAAAGACCCATCCATCACATCACATGCCTCCTTCATCCCCGCTTCCTGCCCTCTCCCCTGCCCACTCACTCGTAAGCTCCCCCTTCCGTGCCTGCCCCTGCCTCCACCGCCACAGCCCCCATCCCCCCCCCCCAGCGCCACCAGCAGCAGCAGCAGCACTGCTGCACCCGCTGCTGCCCCCGCAATCGTGGATGGTGAGAGGGAGGAGGCGAGAGGGGGGGGAGGAGGAGGGGAGGCGAGCAGGAACGCGATGATAAGGGGAGGAGGTGGAGGGGAGAGGGATGGCGGAGGGGGAGGAGGAGAAGGGGGAGGTGGTCTGGGGATTGTTGCTGGGGGGAATAAGACGGGGGGACAGGTTGAAGGGTTGGGGTGAGGGATGGGTGGGCGCCTATGGGATGGTGGATGGGTGGGCATGTTTGAGTATGGAAGCGATTTTGCTTAAACCAAATGCGGAGATAATTGGACAGGCTAAATATTGGGGAGCACGAACCGGGGAGTTTGTGGTGCGGATGACCAAAGCAAGGCTAAGTGTATGTATGGTTGGTTGGTTGGTGTGATCCTGACCGTTGATTGGGATACAAGTGGAGCAGAAAGTCGAACAGATCTTGCAAAACATGGATGAACGGTCCTGTTTTATTTCACAGCGCCCCTCCATTAGGCAGCCCACCCCGCCAATAGGATACCCACTGAAAGATTATTCACACAGAGGACAGATGGGCGGGACACAGAGAGAGGAATTCCCAGGTTAGCATCCTCTTTTAATCCGGTCTGTAGGCTATGATGCTCGTTTAGAATTTGACACCCAAACTAAGTTTGGTAGCACAACTACTGCTTGCCTTAGTGGCAGGCTGGGAACCCCACCGTGGCCCAACATGCTTTTGAGTCGACTCAAACACAACTGATGATTGCCTTAGTGGCAGGCTGGGAACCCAACCGTGGCCCAATATGCTTTTGAGTCGTCCTAAAAAACAACTAATGTTTGCCTTAGTGGCAGGCTGAGAACCCCACCGTGGCCCAATATGCTTTTGAGTCGACTCAAAAACAACTTATGTTTGCCTTAGTGGCAGGCTGGGAACCCCACCGTGCCCCAATATTTTGGTGCCAAGGCTGGGTTGGGTTGGGAGATAACTAGACCCCAAATTATCTTAACTAAGCTTCGAACGAGGCTATTGGGATCCGCAATAATCTCCGACACAACATACCGATGGGGCCAATAATCATGGCCATTGGCCAAGACCCGGCCAAGACCACTTTGAGTCCAACTCAAAAAATTTCCAGCCCATCTTACTAGTGGAGGCCCGCCTTACTAGTGGAGGCCCACCTTACTAGTGGAGGCCTATAATCTTGGCCAAGAATTGAACCACCCACCCCTTTTTATCTCACCACAATATATGCCCCTCCTATTCTAATCCAAATTATCAGTGCATTTTCACGATTCACCGATTCACACAGGTATGTCATGTGGAAGGTACATAAAGAAATGTCATATGGAAGGCACATAAAGTTATGTCATGTGCAAGGCACACATAAAGTAATGTCATGTGGAAGGCACATTAAGGTATGTCATGTGAGTAAACGTTGTTCTAATTATAAATATGAATATGTATGTACTCGTAGAGAAGAGGAAATCACACAAGGTTAAAAGATTTGTGAGGGCTCCAAAAGTGGCAGGGACGTTTCCTTGAACCTTCGTTCCGGTCAAATCACTGAGTGGGATTTGGTTTGGGAAAGTGAGACAAGAGGGGAGCAAGAGGGAGGGGGGAAAGAAACTGGTCAAAAGAATGTGAGAGGGGAGGTGAGAAAGAGACTGGTCAGAGGAATGTGAGAGTGAAGTGAGGAGCGGGAGACATCAAACATCAGTTTGACTCACGTGAAGGCAAATGACTGGGCTGTAGGCACGGACACGGCAGGAGGTAGAGTGGGCAGGAGATAGAAGCAAAAATGACAGGACGGGTGGGGAGGGACAGAGAGAAGAGAAGGGAAGGGCGCACAGAGTGGGGAGAGATGGGGGGAGGGGCGCACAGGGTGGGGAGGAAAAAGGGGAGGGGCGCACAGGGTGAGGAGAAAAGGGGGGAGGGGGACGCACAGGGTGGGGAGGAAAGGGGGGAGGGACGCACAAGGTGGGGAGGAAAGGGGGGGACGGACGCACAGGGTGGGGAGGAAAGGGGGAGGGGCGCTCAGGGTGGGGAGGAAAGGGGGCAGAGGCGCACATGGTGGGGAGGAAAAGGGGGAGGGGCGCTCAGGGTGGGGAGGAAAGGGGGGAGGGATGCACAGGGTGGGGAGAAAAAGGGGGAGGGATGCACAGGGTGGGAAGGAAGGGTTGAAGGGCGCACAGGGTAGGGAGGAAAGTGAGGAGGGGCGCACATGGTGGGGAGGAAAGGGGGGAGGGGCGCACAGGGTGGGAAGGAAAGAGGGGAGGGGCGCTCACAGCACAGTGAGGCGAGTGAGGGCTGCGAGGTGACTTTTGAGTCGACTCAAAAATCAGCTCACCTGCCTGTTACTGGCACGCACAGCACAGTGAGGAGCATGAGGGCTGCGAGGAAGCGAGGCAGCCGGCCCAAGATGATACATACGTATAGCCTTGTGATTAGGCGAGCAGCAGCCTAGAAAGGAAGTTTCGAAGCGTCTCGAAAGGGGGAGGGGCCGTACAGCACAGTGAGGCGAGTAAGGGCTGCAAGGAAGCGAGGCAGCCGGCCCGAGATGGCAGTGTAGCTGAGTACGCTGGGGGAGTGGGGATGGGGAAGGGGAAGGAGGAAGGGGGAAGGGGAAAGGGGAAAAGGGGAGCGGGAAAGGGGAAGTGGGAAGGGGGAAGGGGCAGTGGGCAGGGGAAGAGGGGAAGGGGGAAGGGGGCAGTGGGGGAGGAGGGAGGGGGATTGGAGAAGGCGGAAGGGGAGAGGGGGAAGGAGGAAGGGGAAAGGGGGGAGGGGGGGGGGCAGGGGGCAGGCCGCAGGGGGAAAGGGGAGTGGGAAAGGGGAAAGGGGAAGTGGGCAGGGGGGGGAAATGGGGAAGGGGGAAGAGAGCAGGGGAGAAGGAAAGGAGTCAAGGAAAGCAAGGCACGGAGGGATGAAGGGTATGGGAGTGGGACAGGCCTTGGCAGGGGATGGGATGGGATGGGATGGATGATGGACGAGTCAGATGTGGCAACACCCGACCCCAAGTGGGGTCATTAGACCCACATTTTCGCACAGATTTGCAATTTCGCCTGCCCTTTTTACATGCCGAGAGGTGCTTGGCAGATGTATGTACTTTCTCTACCCAGCAAAAAAAACAAAAAACAAAAAAAAAAACAAACTAAGTGAGATTGCAGGAGGAGAGGCAGGGTTTAGGGGCTGACAGCTGTTGGAGTTTGGTGAGGCGGGAGAGGGCGCGAGGCAGGGATCCTGTGAGAAAGGGGTTCGAACTCAGCACCCTGCCATGCCATACACGTGAGAAAGGGGTTCAAACTCAGCACTAGGGATGCGTAAGAGGCGGACACGAACGTGTTCGCGTTCGCCCCTGCACGAACACCATCGTTCGGCGAGCCGAACTCTGTTGTGTGGTTTGTGAGATGTGCATTTTTGTGCTTTATGTTTGAGCGTTTACAGTTTGTGAATCACCTCGACGGTTCATAAGTTATGAGCGTTTTCGTGAAGGGTTGCATTTGTGAGTGTTCATGATTTTTCGTGAGCGATGACGAGTGTTCGTGTTATTTCGTGTGTTCTGCGAGTCACGAGTGCTTGTGAAAGTATCGTGAATGTTCATGAGTTTGTACGAGAAACGTTAGTGTAATTTTGTGCGAACTTGTGGGTTTCCAGGTAAAGTTTGGGAGTTGCGGTTTTTTTTTTTTTGTTTTAATGAGTACATTTGTATTTTCGTGTTCTTCTATGGGACTTCAGGGAGTTTTGCTCTTACCGAGATGGTCAAGGCTCGAGGCTATGAGCCGGAACCCTGTTGCATTTTTGGTGCAATCTCTTGAGTAGCGCCACAACGGCCGGAGGGTGCCGGGTGATGCACACGCGCAGCCTGAGGCAGAAATTGGATTCCTCGCCACACGCGCGGGTGTGGCACTGAGGTGGCGCATGGGAAAAGACGAGTGCGCATGATGGGTCCAGGACAGGGCTGACAATTCAAGGCCATTTGCCCTTAATGTCCTGAACATTAAGGATTGACATCGCTCCAGGGTCCGAATTTAAAGGATTGCTTTTCAGTACAGCCCTGAATTCTGAAGGGCGTCGTCAAGGCTCCCCCCCCCCCCCAAACCACCGCCCTTCCTCTTAACTCTCCCCTTTCCCCCAACCCCTTGTTAGAGCCGCAAGCTTGCCACTTTACCTTTGATGGAAGGTAGTTAGGCAATTTGAGACAATTACGGCTTCCAGTGTTAGAGTAGTGTACATTTGTAATGTTCACGTAAATTCCTGCCCCGAACGATTAAGTGTTGCCCTGAATTCAAGTGTTAAGATGGGGCCTTTCCCGGATGCTTAAGGGTTGGAAAAAGCCGCTTTCCTGAATTTTCAGGGCTGGAACAGGGGACCTCAGCCACTCGAGTGTTGGCCTAAAACCAATCGACAGCCCCGGTCCAGGATTGAATTTGTGGGACCCTAGAGCTATTTGTCCCCATTCACCGAGAAGAAATTTGCCAAGGGGTGTTTCATGAAGCGCGCGACTACATTCGAAGCTGGTACAAAATGTGCGAGAATAACTTCAACTAATTTGTAATTTCGTCGCGTAACTGCGCAAATTAATCAGGTGATTTCATGAGTTGTCACAAGCTGTCGCCACAAAACCCCACGAACGTCCACTAGGCTTCACGGGCACGTACGGCCAATAGAATTAAGTGTGGGCCAGAATGTTGCCACTGATTTTGCATGGAGAAAGTAAGCATTTTGGAGTATGGTGCTGGCTATTATTTTGGTGGGTTGTTTGCTTTTGCTTTCAGTGGGTTAGTATAAATTTGTGCTTCTGTTTGTTTGTGATCAACACCTTTTATGAGTGAATATTACTCTTACAACGCATTGACGTGGAGAGTAGAATCTGCACACGAGCCAATCGATCGTCGTGACACTGCGCGAATGACTGTAGGAATACTCTAGTGCTCACGATTGAACTTCCGCTTGGTGGATCTCTCTACTAGGCTTGAGCACGAGGCGAACACGAACATGTTCGTCTTAGCCCAGGGCGAACAATGTTCGGTTCGCCGCGAACACTTTCTGAGAAAATGGTGTTCGCCTGTTCGCCTCTAGGGGCGAACACCCCTATATTTGTCCCGAGCACGAACATGTTCTTGGCGAACATGTTCATGCTCGACTTTTCAACAGTCGTGGGATCGGCGAAATGGGTTTCTAATAATGGAATGGGCTTCTAATAATGGAATGGGCGTCATTTTCAGCAAGGGGAGGTGCTATGGTGTGTGAAGCTAGGTTGTATCGCTGGTTTCTTCCCTAGAACGCCCCGAACACAAAGCGAACACGAACATGTTCGTGTTCGGCGCGGCTTGGCTAGCCGCGGCGAACCGAGCACAAACACATTCGGGCGAACACAAACATGTTCGCCCCGAACACTTTAGGCCAAAAAGATATAAGTCTTCGGTTCGCCACGAACATGTTCGAAGCGAACCGAACAGGTGTTCGCTCTTGTGGTCATGCCTACTCTCTACAAACACGGACCCTTGGGTAGGGGCAAGTTTTTCCAGGCACCTAAGTACCATCAGAGGTGACCTCGTGGAGACCAGTCAGTGTTAGTTAAAGGTGTGCATAGAGCCTTTTAGATCCTACACTTAAGTAACACAAACGAGGGCAGCAACAGAGAAACAGCAAGCAAGGGAAGATAATACAAGGAGAATCTTCAAGCGCAGCACCTTGCCCGCTCTTGAAAACTCTCGGATGCAAGAAGAAACATAGTTAGCAAGTCCCAAAGGTGCAAAGAGGTGTGTGCAGCTCACAAGAACTCGAGGAGCGAAAGGGCCGCAATGGTGGAGGGGATGCTTCCTGTGATGGCGTTGGATGGCGCATAGCTGGTGGTGGGTGGTGGGCCATGGGAGGGACGATAGGCGGCAAGAAATATTGAGAATCCTGGGAAATGCAGCAATGGTGGAGGAGATGCTTCCTGTGATGGCGTTGGATGGCGCGTAGCTGGTGGTGGTTGGTGGGCAGTGGAGGGACAGTGGAGCATGGAACGGGAGGGACTATGGGACATTCATGAGTCCAAGTTATCCCAGTTGAACGTGAGAGGAGAAAAGATCGATATCAGCTCAAAAGAGCACGAGGGTTGTACAAGGAAGGGTTGGAGAGGAGCACCAAACCTAGCAACTAGACAAAAAAGCCAACTTGCCTTGCCTAGTTGGAGGGAAGGACAAAACAACCCATGTGGGGTTAGGCATGAGCATCCTGGCCGGGTAAGAGGTTCTGGGAGACGAGGGCGGGTCAACCCAACCCGAGGGCGGGTCATACCTAACCCGGTACCCGAAAATCGGGTCGGGTCAGAGATCCTGGAGTTTCTGACCCGAACCGACCCGACCCGAAACCCGGCTGGCCCGCCCAGGTCGGGTCGGGTCGGGTCGGGTCGGGTCGGGTCGGGTCGGGTGGTTGATCATGCCTTGGCCAACCCTCCAAAGTTGAAGATATCGGGGGGTTTACCCATTCTACACCCAAAAATAGAGCATGCAGTTAAATATAGTCTAACAATGCACTAGAAGGGACCATGGGCCATGCAAGGGGAGGGACGATGGGGCATGCAATGGGAGGGACGATGGGGCATGCAATGGGAGGGATGATGGGGCATGCAATGGGAGGGACGATGGGGCATGCAATGGAAGGGACGATGGGGCATGCAATGGGAGGGACGATGGGGCATGCAATGGAAGGGACGATGGGGCATGCAATGGGAGGGACGATGGGGCATGCAATGGGAGGGACGATGCGCGATGAGCAACAGATGCACGATGAGCAAGAGATGCATCTGATGGCGCTGGTTACATGTTTTGCAGGGCGGTGAGGGCACTGATGGTGTCGGGCAGCGGGCCAGAAATGCCAGTCCATGCCATGCTCCTGTGGTAGGGGAGGGTGGGTGAGGGGTAGCGTTGCTTTCAGGGGAGGGCAGGCAGGGAGTAGCGTTGCTTGCAGACTATGAGGCTTTGATGCTAGAATCTGCGAGCGTCAAGCGTCAAACACATGGCTTTGACGCTTGACATTTGTTTGACGCAGTGCAAAAACGTTGACGCTGCATAGACTTCATTTTGGCCAGCCCGAAATCAATGTTTTTGGCAACACATTCGCGGGTCAATACATCTAGAATTGACCACCAATGTCCAATTTTCAGATCTGAAAATGGTTGGACTTTCTGTGCAGTGGTGGTAGGGGTAACGAGTGGCGGATTGGTTGGGGACAACATTGTTAGTCAAATTTGTGGGATGGCGAGCTACGAAATCCGTTTACGACGAGATGGGAACTGGGGCACGAAGGAATAGTTTCGACTTTGGATCCAACGGTGCCTTTGGATGGGAACTGGGGCACGAAGGAATAGTTTGCTGTTCAGTTGGCTGTGCTTGCTGCAAAGCCTTTGGATGGGAACTGGGGCACGAATAGCACTCCCTTCCCTTACCCACATAATCTCCTACACTCCCTTCCCTTACCCACATAATCTCCTACACTCCCTTCTAGGCTGTGTCTACCCCGGATCTTATTTGCCTGCCCCAAATATTTTTGCGTGCCCGCGCCTGAGGGTCAAACTAGCATCAATTGTTTCTCACAGGGCACGTCAAGCGTCCAACCGCTAGCGTTTTGACGCAAGTTTCAATGATGATTGACACATATAAGCCATCATAGCTGGAAGGCATTGAATAAGAAACAAGTGGGGGGTGCATTGAATTTACGTGGGGTTGAGTGGGATGGGATGGAATAAGTGCAGGAAGGAGAGGCATGTGGGAAGGAGAGGCTTTTGGGAAGGAGAGGCTGTTAGTGTTAGCCCTCGAACTCAATTTTTGTACTTGTACTTTTTATATCCTGGATTAGTGTAGCTCGTAGTTTGTGTTGGTTGGGTACACAACACACCCACACACATCCCAACCTCACCCAAATATGATCAACCAGAATCTCCAACCCACCAATTGGAGGTTTCTCCTTGGGATTGGCCTCCCCATCAAACCCTTGCTCATCCAAGCCTTGGGCTCATTACCTGGATCAGTTCGAGCTCAAGATCTTACAGAGGCGTGCAGGAAGGAAAGGCGTGCAAGAGGTGAGGCCTACAGGAAGGAGAGGGCGGTGAGATGGCTGATTTCTTGTGGCAGTGGCGCATTCAAGGGGTTGGAATCCATTTCGCTAGGAGCATGTAGGGCGGGAAGGGAAGGGGGAGCAGAGATCACATAAGAGGGAGGGGAGGGGCAATGGAGGGAAAGGATGGGCGTGGAAGGGTGGGGATGGGCGTGGAAGGGAGGGGATGGGCATGGGAGGGAGGGGATGGGCGTGGGAGGGAGTGTAGTGGCACGGGAAAGGACACGAAAGGAGGATTGGATAGGGGAGTAGTGGACAGGAGAGAAAACGATTGCTGGGAAGAGAAAGATGGAGCATGTGGGGGGAGGAGGCGGGTTAGTGGGAATGAGAAGCAATCGACAGAAGTGGTGAAAGCAATGGAGTGTGTCACGGGAGTGTGGGAATGACAGCGTGAGGGAGAGAAAGGTTAGGGGAGCTGACAGAAACTCAAGCCGGTGCAGACGTGAGATGGCGGGTGGAATGGGCCCCGTAAAGCGATTGCTGTAGAATGAACTGGCGGGGAGGAAGGGGTTAGACTTTTGAGTCGA